CTTTTTTTTTTTTTTTTTTTTTTTTTTACTACCAGGAATCTGACTCAGGATCCTCAGCTTGCAAGGCAGGCGTGGTGCCACTGAGCTAAATCCCTAGCCCCATCATCATTTTAGACTCTACTACTTCTACCAAAAAAAAAGTGCTATAAAACAGTATGCTGTGTTATGCTGGCAGCAGCCTCACATACCCTGTTTACTGAATCTCTTGGTTGCATCACTTTCTCTTGTGCTTAGTTTAATTTTGTTCATCTTGGCCCTGGGAGCAATCGGCTGTGCCATATGTGTACATATTGTGTGTACACACATATACACCACACATATACATACAGATATAGCGCCTAGGTTTGTATGAACCCACTCTGCAAGGCCCATACAATAATGAAATCACCTAACTATGTATTTCTCAGAGGACAGCCCCAACGTCAAGCAGTGTATGACTATATTCAGATTTGCAACTGAGAAGAATCTGACCACACGGTGAAGCATGAGTTCGTCTCCAAAGGTGGGTTGCAGAGTACAGTGCTGACTGGAGCTGAAACCAGCAGGCTGGGACTGGCCCACTGAGGGTCTCGTTTGACTGCTGACTTACTTGTCATCATATCTTCCTCTTCCAGCTGGTTGATTCCAAAAAGGTGCAGTCCACTTGCAGGGATGTTGTTTTTCAGGGACTCTGTTAGCAGTTTATCAAGAGTTTCTGTGTTGTAGGGCACAATTTTAAAGGCCTGAATAGAAAAAGACAGATTTTATTTATTTGTTTTCATTGAGTTTATTGGTACATTTTAGGCACACAATACAGTTACAGTCATCACTGGGATCTTGTACCTTCACATGACAGATCTTGGGTCTTGTATTTTCCCCCTTCCCCTGCCCTCCCTTCACCCCCTTCACCCTTCCCAGAAGGGTAGGAGAAAGGAAATAAGGGAAAAGAAAAAATATGAAAAAAATGGAACAAAGTCTTTGTAAAAAGATAGATTTTAAATCAGGCTATTTCCCGCCCAGCAGATTCAAGGCCGAAAAGCTACAAGCAAAAGTTACCTTCCCAGAAAGTTCAGGTCTCCATTCAGCACCCTTACCTGACACATGAACTCCACAGGATTTGCAGCATTAGACAGTAAATTCCCAATTTCTTCCATGTCTGTATAATAGCTGATAATGGTTTCACATACCACTAAATCCCCAGAATATATCTTCAGACAAACATTCCCAGATGAAAGATCTGAACAGAAGGAAAGATACTATAGAATGCCCAGGAAGAGTAACGTGATCATGGCCAGGCATGTTCCAGCTGAACGGTGAAGAAATGAACTGAAAAAGCCCTTGGGGGTGAGCTGGGGAGGAGAGGAAGTATAAGGTGTGTGACCAGCACATACGGGACCTGAAGTCACAGAGATGATCTTCCTCGGGTCTGCCATTTCATTTGTGAAGGATTTTAGTCTATTTTGTTTACTACTGTAGGCCTAGTGCTCAAGGAGCAGGAAGAAAATCTGGCTTTAAAGCACTTTATACAAAGGCCAGCGGTTGCTGAATGTGAGGGATTCTGAGAGAGGACACTGTGTTTCTACCACTCTGAGCCCCTAGAATCAGCCGACTTGCTCTACTGTTGCCACTGCTACGTGCTCTCCCTGGGGTAGAATTCTACACCACCGGAAGGGGTTTTGAAGGGGAAAGAAAAAATTAAAAATACACCAACCACAAAGACTCAATTCACAAAAGAGGAAATAAAACAAGTAGAGAATATGGAAAAATATTCAAACTCACTAGTAATCAAGGAGATACAAATTAAAATAATGACCACTTTTTATAAACATCAAATTAGCAAAACTATTTAAAGTGGCAATGCCTAGTGTTGGTTAATAGCAAATAAACCGTAGAGTAATAATATTTCAGCAGCAATTAAGCATGACGTGATCCTATTACCTCAGGACTACTTACCAGGAGCCCTCACAGACACTGTGTATTCATTCTCCAGCATGGCTTCTACCCTTACAGAGGGGGAATCCTCAGGAGAAAATTCTGCCTCTGTTGCCACCCTCTCATCCAACTTACATCTCACAATGACGTAGACCGTAGTTTCTGCCTGGAACAGGAGAGAGACATGGGTCATGGTCTCCTCCCCTTCCTGGATACCTAAGGACGATGAGCCAGAGGGTCCCCAGCACTCTAGAGTCTCCTCACTAGAGAAAGCTGGGGTGCAGGTAGGACAGGGCCAGGCCGGCAGGTGGTCAGGGAACTGTTAACTATCATTCCAAAAAAACAAGATGGGCAGGGATTTAGCTCAGTGGTCCTGCCGCCTGCCTTGCAAGCACAAGGACCTGAGTTCGATACCCAATACCAAAAAAAACAAAACAAAACAAAACAAAAAAACCCCACCAAGTTATCAAAGACAAAAGTAAACCTTTCTAAACTTTACAGTAATTTGATGAAATTGATTTATGTCTATTGCTTTTAATAATTCTTTGGACCTAGGATTTATATATTATATGTATATAGCATTTCTCTCTTTTTTTTTTTTTTGGTACCAGGGAATGAAACTCAGGACCCTGTGCTTGCAAGGAAGGTGACAGCAGAACCACTGAGCTAAATCCCTGACCCCCATTTCTTTGTTTGTAAAATAAAATAATTACATCATTGAAGAAACATATTATTTTTACAAGTCCTTCTCCACAGATATATATATTATATATTACATAATAATTAAACACACACACACACACACACACACACACACACACACGTTTTTTTTCGTACCAAGGATCGAACTCGGGACCTTGCACTTGAGGTGTAGGCGGCAGAACCACTGAGCTAAATCCCTGCCCACCCCACCCCCACAGATATTTTGAAAAGTGTTGCTCTAGAGTAGCCTTGCTACTCCATGTGGGGCTAAGGGACCAGCAGGATTTGGCACCCAGAGGATCATGAATTTGAGATCAGCCTGGGAAACTTCGTGAAATCCTGTCTCAAAATGAAAAATTTTTAAAAAGGAGTGGGATATATAGCTCAATGGTAAAGTGCTTGGCTAGCATGCAGGAGGCCTTAGGTTCGATACCCAGGGCAGAAAAGAAAAAAGGAAAAGAAAGGAAGAGAGAGGAAAATGGAGGCTATCAGGGCCCTTCTGGAGCACTGACTCAGCGTCTGTGTTTTCCCAAGATACCCATATAACTCCTATGCATCCTACAGAGTATGAGGTCCTAGCTTAAGCCATCTGGGGCTCTGTTCCTCACACTGCTTGGGAGGGGGGCAAAAATAACTTACCAAAGGATTAATTTTCCCAAAATCAAGCAACCTGGGTAGCAATTTTACCTTGCTGTAAAAATCTCACCCTGAGCCTGCCAAATAGATTTACAGGTTGAGCTTCTCTAATCCAAAAATCCAAAATCTGATGTGCTCCAAAATGTGAAACTTTTTGAGCACCACCATGATGCTGCAAGTGGAAAATTCCACATAAACAGCCAGGAGGGAGGCCAAGGATTTAGCTCAGTGGCACCGTAAATGCAAGGTCCTGAGTTCAATCCCCAGTACCCCAAAAAACAAACAGCCAGGAGGGGAGAAGGAATGAGCATCTGGAAAATCAGAGAAGTGAGTAAAGGGATTCTTGCTTTGATTCCAAGCAACCTCATATCCACAGGTTTTCTCGAGTGTGATCAGAGATGCATGGGGAAGCAGGAAGCAATACAGGGAGACTGAAGCTGAAATGTCTACACAAGCCTGGTTGAAAAGGAAAAGAAGCGAATGGGATGAGTGTAAGGTTAGGGAATAGTGAAGACCAAAAGACTGGAGAACACATGTCTTATGCAAAGGACTTCTCAGCCTCAGGCAGTCATCTCAAGCCTAATATTATCAGGTTTTCCGTCAAAGGACCTGGAAAGACAAATTTTTCTATTCCTTTTTTTTTTTTTTTTTTTTTTGAAACAAGGCCTCATTATGTTGTCCAGGATAGACTCAAACTCTTGGGCTCAAGTGATCCTCCTGCCTCAATCTTCGGACCAGTTGGGACCACAGGCACTTATCACCATGATAATTTATGCCTAACTCATAAAGCACTGTGAAATTCAAACCAAACATACCCATGGGTCAAACTGAGCCCAAAGAAGCATCTGACAAGTCCATGGGGGGAGCCTCTGCCCAATGTCTCATGGCCTCAGCTGTACAGAAAATCACTCAAAAGGACAATGAAGCTAGTTCCCGGACTTCCTATTGCCAAGGCCTTCAGGCCCTGTTGCTTCAAGGAGCCCACAGAGGCAAGCTTAGCATTGAGCTTATATCTGTGAAGAGATAATTTTGCTGCTCCAGACTATCATAGATGTCACATTTTTAACAAAAAAAGAATAAAATACTAATAACTAAGATAGAATTCAAATGACAGTGGCTTGTCTGCTGGACTAACACAAGTCACCTGTTAATATATGCCTGCCCCTAAACAATGCTAGTCATGTGATGTTTACACGTCTATCCAACACTTTATCAAGTGATGTTAGCTAGTGGGTTCTAGCTGTCAAGTTTCAAGGTATGCCCATGAGCTAGGCCATTGGCCAATTGATGGAGAAGCAACCTCTCTGCAGGCCCTACTTCCTCCACCCAGGGCTAGACCAGCAGGAAAGGATACAGAGCTCTAACTTCAGGGTTGACCTCAGGATCTGGTAATGTCTATGTCTGATGGTTTCCTGCATGTTATGTATCATTGATCCATGAAACAGAAGTTTTCATGATGACACATTTATTCCTGTACTTATTTCTCTTTGATTTAAAAGAGCTATATATGCCCAAGACCCAGGTAATGGGAAACCCCAAGGGAAGGCTATAACTATACTGAGGTACAACATGAGAACCTCACTCCCTTTACTGAAACAAAAGCATCTGTTTCAAAAGCCTGCGTTCTGCCATGAATCTCCCAGGCCCATAGGAGCGCCTACCCCACAGCGAATGCGGTCCGGCTGTACCACCATCAGGTTCCTGGAAGCCTCTGTCGTCGGTAGGCTCTGCTGCTTTGAGTGGCTCTCTTCTTCAGGCTCTGTGTCAGTCACTGAGTCACAGCCAGAATCTATGGGACAGAGGACACTACTGAATGGGAACAGAAAGAAGGAGAACTAGTGGGCAGGTCCTAGCCCACAAGAATCCCAAATATTAACACATAGGAAGTAGCTTTGAATATCAAACAAATCCACTTGAAGGGAGTGACTCAGGAAATCACAAAAGAGGACCCAATGGGAAAAGTCACTTGCCTTCTAAGCTTTAGGATACAGTGACAGCAAGAAGACAATAGTGAAGAGTAAGGATGGCAAGACTGGGCGGCAGCACTGAGCTTCTGGAAGCTTCACCTCAGGACTTCTTCCAAGGCTGAATGGTTGTTAGGAAAGGAAAGGTCAAAAAGGGACTGTCTACTCCAAGGTCATCCTTATAATTGAGTAAAGTCTGCTGTCCAAAAAGCCATAGCACCTCAGGGTCCTATCTGGCCTGAGTTCCCCCTCTCAGATTAGTGTAACTGGATTCTAGATCAGTACCACAATCAACACCTGCACTGAGAGAATTAGGACAGGCACACACTGAGAGAAATAGTACATGCACACACTGAGAGCAGGTGAGCACAGGTGTGCAGATGAATGGGATATGGCATAGATGAGATGACACTGAGAGCCTATAAAGCTCTTGGAAGCAGCAGAGAGGCCCAGCCTCCTGGGTGCCAACACAGCTGTGTCCACGCCACCCCCCACATGCAAACAAGAGAAAGAGGGCCTCTCAGAGGATCCTAGATGAAAACTGAAGCCCACTGGAAAAATGAAGCAAATATCTGCAATAAAGGCACATCAGACTGCCATAGTTGGAAAATCAGATTGCCTCAGAGTCATTAGAGACTCAAAACCTAAAGACTTGCTACATCTGGAAGATCGAAGTATTAACCCAGGAATTAAACCGACGGCTACCAACAACAAAAACAGAAATGAGAAGACATTTAAACAGTGTACAAATACAGGCTTCCAGCTCACCAAAGTTAAAAATTCTGGGGGAAATGAGATGGAAAAGTCCGACAGTCAAACATCTGGACACCGTGAACCGATAGCACAGGAAGTAACAAAACAGATAAATGAGGCTCTAGAAAAATTCAAAACAGAAATAATTTCCTGGATAACCACAGAGATGGTGAGAAGAATGAAAGACATGATTAGAGACTCTAGAAACAGATTTAAAAAATAAATGAGCTCAGGACCATGAAGGAAACCATGAATGCCCAGCATAGGAAAGAAATGGATACCTTGAATGCCCAACACAGGAAAAAAATGCAATCCATGAAACAGATTCAAACAGGTATACAAGAGACTAAAAATTCTATAGAAAGCATTAGCATCAGAATGAACTCATGTGAAAGATAGAATTTCAGATACAGAAGATAGGATTGTGGTCAGTGACCATGAAAAGAGAGATCTCTTAAACATAGTATGAATCATAAAAAAAATCAATTCAACAGCTCTTAGATGATGAAAAGAAGAATAATATAAGACTGATAGGAATCCATGAGGTAGCAGGATAAAGCACAATTGACATTTTAAAAAAAACTGTTCACAGAATTAATGACAGAAACTTCCCAAACAGAGGGGAAGAATTTGACATACAGATAAGTGAGGCATATAGGACTCCAAGTAGCCATGATCAAAAAAAATCTACACCTACACATATAATAATCAAGATCTTGGAAACCCAACAGAAGAACAAAATACTATAAGCAGAGAAAAGAAACAAATCACATGCAAAGGAAAGCCCATCAGAATCACAGCAGACTTTTCAACACAAACCCTCAGGTCAAGGACAGCCTGAAGAGAGGTATTTCAAGTCCTAAAAGAAAACAACCTCCAATCTAGACTGATATAAAACTATCTTTCAAAACTGATGGGAAAATAAGATACTTCCATGACAAAGAACACCTGAGAAATTTCATGAACAACAAACTGGCGCTCCAAACACTTTTAAACAACATACTGGAAAAAGAAATGAAGGCCACAGCTCCATAAGGGCCAACAGAGCAAATACAGCAGGCAAGGCAAGAAATTAAAGTGAAAGAGGGAAAAATAAAAAATAAAAGAACCAACAACAGGAAAATAACATGATAATGAAAAGTTGATATATAACAGTTATAACCACAATGTTAATGGCCTCACTTCACCAATCAAAAGAAACAGGCTGGCAGAATGGATTAAGAAGCAAAAGCCAACAATATACTGTATACAAGAAACCCACTTAATCCGCAAAGAAATTCATAGACTGAGAGTAAAAGGATGGAAAACAGTTCTCCATGTGACAGAAACCAGGAAAAAAATGGGGGTAGCTATCTTATTTGCAAACAGAGTAGATTTCAAACCAAAAATAATTAAGAGAGACAAAGAAGGCCACTATATTCTTGTAAAGGGAACAATACAAGAGGAAGAAATGACAATCATAAATATATATGCACTGAATACTAATGCCCCCAACTATACCAAACAAATACTAATGGATATGAAAAACCAAATAAGCACTAATACAATTGTAGTGGGGGACCTAAATACCCCACTGTCATAAATAGGCCGATCATCTAGACAAAAATCAACAACGAAATAACAAAACTGAACCAAGTCTTTAGACAAATGGATTTAGTAGATGTCTACAGAGTGTTCCACCACACAAAATCAGAATATACATTCTTTTCGGCTGCACATGAGTCATTCTCCAAAATAGACCAAATGCTAGCTCATAGAACATGCTTAAGTAAATGCAAAGGAATTGAAGTCATCCCCTGTATATTATCAGACCACAGTGCAATTAAGTTGGAGATCAATAGCATAAGAAACTGCAAGAACTTCACAAACACATGGAAATTAAATAACATGCTACTGAACAATCACTGGATCACAGAGGAAATTAAAGAAGAAATTAGACAGCTTCTACAATTAAATGATGATGCAATACAATATACAGGAATCTATGGGACACAATGAAAACAGTTCTACGGGAGAAATTCATAGTAGTAAACGTCCATACTAGGAAAACAGAGCTAGCTCAAATAAACCACCTAATGCTTAATCTTAAGCACCTAGAAAAATAAGAGCAAGACAAACTGAAAGCTCATACAAGGGAGGATATTATAAAGATCAGAGCAAAAAGTAATGCAATGGAGACTAAGAACAATATTAAAAAATCAATGAATCAAAGAGTTGGTTTTTCTAAAGAATAAATAAGATCAACAAACCTTTAACCAGCCTTATCAAAAAAGGGAAAGAAAAAGCTCAAGTTCATGCAATTAGGAATGAAAAACGTAGTCACAACAGATCCAGCAGAAATCCAGAGGATCATCAATACCTACTTCAAAAACCTGTACTCTAATAAAATGGAAAATACAGAAGAAATGGACAGATTCCTAGATATATGAACTTCCAAAGTTGAACAAAGAAGATATAAAGTCTAAACACCCCAATTACATTCTGTGAAACTGAAAATGTAATTAAAACATTACCAACAAAGAAAAGACCAGGTCCTGATGGATTCACTGCTGGATTCTATAAAACATGTAGAAAACCTCTGCCATTACTCTTTAAACTCTTTAGTGAAATAAAAAGGGAAGCAATACTTTCAAATTTATTCCCGGAAGCAAGTGTTACTTTGATTCCAAAACCAGGGAAAGACCTAACCAAAAAAGAGAACTACAGGCCAATCAATCTCCCTAATGAACACAGATTAAAAAAATCCTCAATGAGATACTGGCGAATAGAATACAGGAGATCATCAAGAAGATCATATACCCTAACCAAGTCAGATTTATCCCAGGGATGCAAGGATGGTCCAACATATGTAAATCAATAAATGTAATACACTAGATTAACAAAGTCAAGGACAAAAACCATATGATCATCTCAATAGATGCAGAAAAAGCATTTGACAAAAATCAACACCCACTCATGATAAAAACCCTACAGAAAGTTGGAATAGATGTTCTTTATCTCAACCTGATAAGGCTATGAAAAACCAACAGCCAATGTCATACTCAATGGTCAGAAATTGAAAGCCTCCTTGCTAAAATCAGGAACAAGACAAGGATGCCCACTATCACCACTCCTGTTCAATATAGTTCTAGAAACATTAGCCACAGCAATTAGACAAGAGAAAGAAATAAAAGGAATTAAAATAGGAAAGGAAGAAGTTAAACTGTCACTGTTTGCTGATGACATGATACTCTACAAACAAGACCCAAAAAACTCTGCTAAAAGACTTCTAGATTTAATTGACAGATTCCGTAGAGTAGCTAGATAAAAGTCAACACTCAAAAAACAATACACAAACAACAGGGTCATTGAGAGAGAAATTAGGGAAACAATTCCTTTCACAAAAACATCCAAAAGAATGAAATATCTAGGAATCAATCTAATGAAGGAGTCAAAAGAACTCTACACTGAAAATTGCAGCACTCTAAGGAAAGAGATTGAAGAGGATATAAGAAAATGGAAAGACATCCCTTGATCCTGGGTAGGAAGAACCAACATAGTAAAAATGGCCATACTTCCAAAACTGCTATACAGATATGATGCAATCCTGATTGAAAGCCCAACAGTGTATTTCACAGAACTTGAGAAAACAATCCAAATAATTCATTTGGAACCAGAAGAGACCTAGAATATCAAAAGCCATTCTATGCAACAGAGGCATGGCAGGAGGTATCACAATTCCCAATTTGAAACTATACTACAAAGCCACTGTGATAAAAACAGCATGGTAATGGCAAAGAAACAGACCTGAGGATCAATGGAATAGATTAGAAGATGCAGAAACAACACCAGACATACTCAACTACTTCATCTTTGACAAAGGAGTGAACCATCCTCACTGGAAGTAAGACAGCCTCTTTAATAAATGGTGTTGGAAAAACTGGGTTTCAACTTGCCAAAGATTAAAACTAGATCCTTATCTTTCACTATTCACTAAACTAAAATCCAAGTGGATTAAAGATCTAAATATCAAAACAGAAACACTAAACTTACTCGAAAATAAATTAGGTAGAACTCTCAAAGATATTGGCGT